CATTTACTCAATAACTACTCCACGCATGTAGACAATAACATTAATATAGGACAGTATGCAAACATTTTGGCCAAGACTAGTTTTACCTCATAGAGCAAAAGATAAGTACTTTTATGACATATTTGTAGAAAAATTACTTATTTATTACATTTAAGCATTATTCTCTTCTTTAAGAAAGCATTCGAATTAAATTTATTTTAAATTAACAAGTCCTGTTGAATATTTATTTCACAGTTACAGATGATTGGTTACAACTCCGACCTTTATCCAAACATGACCGAAACTGTGAGAGTACACAAAAATCAAGGCCTTGTTGGCGTTTCCGTTATGGTACAGGTAAGAACATTACACCAGTGCCAGCCTTGTGTATTTTTATTGTTATTTATTTTTTCCTGCAATAGGAAAATGCAAAATATTTAATTTAGAATAGTAATGACAAATTAAAGTTAATTAGACTAAAACCTATTTCTGTGTCTTATAAAGGTAACCTATAATTACCATGAAAGAGAAAAACAAAATCCGCGTTTTATTTTGCGAGTACAGTTTAATTGTTTATTTATTTGTAAGTCTTTAAGTTTAACGCTGACCCATCGGCAGACGAGCAGTTTTACATACACTAAATTTAACTGTAAAGAATTATAGGATACAAGTTAAACTTTTATTACAGAAGTAAACATATTGTTCTCGCATATGTGTAACCTCCAATGGACGAATAGTGAAATCGACGTAACAGTAAAAACCTAAAGGGTATTTAAGTTTACAGAAAATAAGACTTGTTATTTCTTAGGTTTTGTCTTCTATTTTATTAATACAGATTACTGTGCTGAAAATGGTCATAGTCAATATAATAGTAGAGTATTTGCATATCCAATCTCCAAGATACTTGGCAATATTTTTTGTTACATTTCGGTTGAGGTGTTGTAAATTTCAAGTGTAGATGGTGCCTAAAATGAACTTATCCTGAAAAGAGTTATGAATCAGAACATTCCAACGCGAAACTTTCCTTTTCTGAGATTATAAAAGCGCTCAAGACAAGAAAATTTAAACCTTCGAAGAAAAAGACGTGTAATGCTCACTTGTAACAGTGAAACAAGGGAATGTGTAATTAGAGCAAGGAAGAAACAGGCTACCTCACGACTGGCTACTTGTCGCACACCGGAAGTAGTGAAAAAAGTTAAACAGTATTTTATGTAGCACACTGAAATGAAACACTAGAGTCTTAGGTAAAATATATAATATAATATTAGATAAACTGTGTTGATTACTATTTTAATCAGTTGTACAATTATAGCTGTAAACTGCAACCGGTATGATGATCTCAGCAGTTAGCGTGATACTATACAGAGCTCACCTTCGTCGACTCTCTGAATATTTAACTTACTATTAATAGCTGTAAACTGCAATCGCCATAACACTTTACTCTGTATCGTTATTGGAATGTTGTATAATCGAAGTACTATAATATATTGACCAGAACTTTGCAGCCATTTGTCACATACAAATAACTATATTTTCTGTTCAGCTATATGTTTAGATGCAATGAGTCACTGTATTCTTGGGTTACTTCTTAACCTCGAGAAAATTTCAGATTTATTTTCGAATCACACCCTTATTTTAGAGATTTGTTTTTCTTTTAAATAAGGTTTCTTTGTCTTTTGTATAAACAATACTATGACGATTTAATGTGAAAGAAGGTCTCGAAGCTTAGTATATCAGTTTGGTTCGTTATCATTAAAAATTCTCGGGCGTGTCATATTCTACACAAAGCATTGGGAGAGATTAATGAAATCACATTGAATAAAAAGGCCGCTTATCTTAGTCTTCCACCAGAAACATGAGTTAAAACTCTCACCAATTTTATCTTAGCCTTCCAACAAACTTTGAGCGCAAACTTTCGCAAGATTTATCTTAGTCTTCCACCAGAAACACGAGTTAAAACTCTCACCAATTTTATCTTAGCCTTCCAACAAACTTTGAGCGCAAACTGTCGCAAGATTTATCTTAGTCTTCCACCAGAAACACGAGTTAAACTATTGCCAGTTTTCTCTTCCATTGATGTACGTGAACAGTGGCTTCTGTGGTCAATTAAACTATAATAAAGTCAGTTATTAAATCAAAAGTTAGATGTGTTGTTTTCAAAAGATCAGTGCCAACTGAACTATGGAAACGATACATAATTCTATCAGCAAACATCCATTTAATTTTAATGAGGGTCACATTAAACGATTTTGATAAATGATGCTAAGTTAAGTTATTAATTATTTAAACACAGGAAGAATAACAAAATAAAACGAATAACTATCCAAACAGAGAATTTCGTTTAATTCTGCTTGCATTTGTCTGATCAGTAAAGACTTCATAATATGTAGAGCGACTTCACTGTTGAGTAGAGAATGTTGAAGTCTGTGTCATATTTTTCAATAACTTATATGTCTATATATATATATATATATATATATATATATATATATGTGAGCTTATATTTTAAAATAT